AAAGCTCGCGAGATCACGGGCCGGCTCGGGCAAAGCCCGTGTCCCCAAAATGGGGCTCGGCCCGAGCTTAGGCTCGGGTCTACCGAGCACCGAGCCGAGCCACGGGTGGCCCGAGCCGGCGAGCCCGATTGCCATCCCTACACCCAACCGAGCCGACCACCACTATCCACCACACCTAAATCAGTCAACAACCGCCATCCACCATACCCAAACCATAGGACCGCAACTGCCACCAAAATCACTGCAAATAATTCATATCGTTGCACCATCCACCCACCCAACCAAAACCCACAACCATTGCCACCCCACAACTCCACCATTTTCAAGAATTTGAGCAATAAATTAGCAAATCACAATCGCTTACCATAGCCTCAAATATCTTGTATAAGCCGTGGTCGCTCTAGTCAATTTTGAATATGGATTCCACTACTCCACCCTTTTTGAATAGTTTGAATAATATCATAGATTCCACAGTTGCACATTATATGAGATGACGGGTCTCCTCCATTACCTATATTCAAAATTTCCAAAATCAACAATTCCTGGTTTTTGATCAAACAAGATCAAATTGATTTAAGCCAAGATCTATACATTTCTGACCTAAAATTGTGGCTCGTGATATTTATTTCTCCACGATGCCGTCGATGGTTTATGAGTTGATGCCTCCAAGATGAGATGGATGGTGAAGGAGAGACGAGTAAAAATGGCTGTTGGTTACAATTTGGTACATCTTTATCAAGCTACATAGATTTGTGGATGGCTGTGGTAGTGGTAGTAGCAGTGGACGGTGGCGGGTGACTTTGAGAGTTGGGGTTGGCGTAGGGAGGAGAAAAAGAATTTTCCAGATCTTTTATTTTTATTTTTGGATTTTAATTTAATTATTTTAATTCTTTGATATAAAAATTTAAAGTTACCTTTTTACCCTTTTAAACATTAATCAAAAATTGGTCCAAATGTTGACTATAGGTCAACTAACGGATGAACTAGCGATTTCCATCCATATGGACTCCGGTGCAAATTTTTAAAAGGTTTGGGTCAAGTCTGCAATAAAACGAAAGGTTTGGTATTGTGACTGCAATTTTTCCTAATTTTTTTTTTTAAGAATGTAGGGCTAAAAAGAAGGAATTTTTTTTGAAATTACTTGTATTATTATTTTATTGAAGAATAAATGATTGAAAAGAACGGAGAAAAATACATTTTGAATAAAATGGAGCCCAAACAGGAGCTGCATCGTAAAATATGAGTAACTTACATGATGATGTCCAAAGTGTTTATATTTTAAGACCTAAGAAGCATGGATATGTGTAAACATATTGCATACTTGTATCCAATATGTATTCAAGCTTGAAAACGATGGGCACGCTCTAATACATACTGGGTAAGGGGTACGTGTTTTTTAATTTTTATATATTTGTTAGGTGTATGATGAAGAAGAGTTTTATTGGTTTTAGAGTCTTTTAGATCTCATTATTATTGGCAATATAAGACAAATTTTATTTACTTGATAGATAACTATTGTTATTATCAATAACTTATTGAAAATAATTAATATTTATTGATAATAGATGACAAATTTTTTTTTTTATATTTTTATATTTTTTTACTTAATATTTATGATTGACACCTACTATTTTGTGCACTCTATGAGAAATAATAAAATGACCCCACAAGAAGTTGAAGAATTGGTTTTCATTCATAGCAATATGCACTTTTTCCAAAACCATTAAATCTTTATTGTAAAAAGGAGAATTCAAAATATTGGACATTGCTAGAGACTCATTTGATACTCTTGAAGGTGTCAAGTTGCTTGATTTTGCTAATATATCATTAGATGAGCTAGGGTTGAAGAGTGTGATTTCGAATAATAATGAATAAGCTGATGGTGGTCATGTTGAAGCAATGAGGTTAGGACAATTAAGGATTAAAATGAAATGCTTTAGTATTGTATTTTATTTTTATTGTCACACTTTTGTTTTAATGTTTTTATAATTTTTAAATTATGTTGAATTTTATGATTTAACTTCTGAAATACTATACTTATACACACATCCTAATTTTATTTTAAAAACTGTATCGTTGTACCCTATCGTATCGTATTTGAATTACATATTCGAATCCCTTTTTCTTAAAAGAGGACACTTGAATTTGAAATGATATATGAAATTAGCTACAATTCCTGCCATGCATATAATTCCTGCATCTTTGCTTGTTGCGGCCTGTATTTTCTCTTTTTCTGATTGGCATAATATTTACATAATGACTAGTTGCTCAATGAATTCTTTTTCCTCTTGGTTACAAATTATTTGGATAACCATTCTCATTACTTTATACCCTTTATGTTTGATGTGTAAATTTTCTTCAGGAGTTGATGGCAGCCAAGTTACAGCAGTTGCAAACCAAGGCTGTCCAGGCCTCACAATTTGTAGCCAAGAATGGAACTTCCTACTACAAGCAGTTGTTGGAGCAGAACAAACAATACATTCAGGAGCCGCCTACTGTGGAAAAATGTAATGAATTGGCCAAGAAGCTGTTCTACACTCGTCTTGCAAGGTTAATTTGTTTGTATCCATAATGAATACTTTTGGTTATGATAATCTTTCTTGTGTGCATTTCGAGCTTGGACACAATTTAAATTCTTGTAACTTAATTTAGTATAATCCTGTCTACCCGGGTCACTGAATGTCCTTTTCTACGTATAAGATAAGATACGGATAACAATATTTTAATATGCTCACTTTACCTGTAAACGAATATTCTCTGATATGTAAATGCACTTGATTTCTGTCTGACAATACTGGCACAAGAGGCATTATCTGCAAAATCATTTTGCTATGCACTGGTATTTGATTTGATCTCCCTGAGAATCTTCAATTTGACCAAATGAAAAGGGAAATTTTGCTATGTTTTATAAATTTCATAATTTGAAACTGATTTCTTATCTAATGGTTCCAGTTAGCTGCTATAAATTTTGGACATCTGAACTGGCTATTCTTTCATAAAAAATTACTTGTTTTTCTTATGATGGAGTAAGTTTCTTATCATCAATCCAAGAATTTGAAACCTCTATCTGTTGATGCAAAATGGAAAATAATGATATCCTGATCCATCACTATAATCTATTGTGCATGTTTTGACCATAAAATGTTGAAATGTGTTGTACATTATAAGCTTAGAGCATGCAGATAGATGCACTCAGCCTTCTTATGATAATTTAGCCTCCGTTTGAGAAGAATTTATAACGGTTTAATTTATAAATTAATAGAAATGAGTATTGGATAAGCGGATATTACTTGTGGGCCATTGAAATGTGTGGTTGATAATGAAGTTTCATTATTTATAAATGATTTATTAAAATTTGTGCCAAATTGAGGCTTAATGTATTATAAAATAGCTACAAGTATTCTAAAGTAAAAATGAAGTTTTCTTTTGCCCTATTTCAATTTCCAATTTTATATGAATTTGAATATTATCGGTAAAGACATATTTTAATCTTAGTCTATCTATAAGTCATTCATGTGTACGTGGCGAAATGGTCTATAGCCCTAAAGGTTTATGCTATTCTATTGAGTTGAATAATATTCTTGGTTTAACCTTTGTCTGCTTGGAACCACTGAAAATATGCCCCCGGTGTCTTCACATATTTTTGCAGTAGGGAAGAGTGGCTGGTAGAGACCATCTACATTACCTGGAAGTGGAATGAACTTGTGTGTTTCGAAGTGTAATATGGCTTTCGTCATTATAGTTTAATGTGGTTTATTTTGCCAGTTCCTGTCGGAAATTTCCCAAAATGAAAACATCTTTACTAGTTTTCTTCACTCGTCATTTTCAGCATTCCTGGTCGAACTGAGTCATTCTGGAAGGAACTCGATTATGTCAAGAACGCCTGGAAGCACAGACAGGAGCTGAAGGTTGAAGATGCCGGCATTGCTGCACTGTTCGGCCTTGAGTGCTTTGCATGGTTTTGTGCTGGCGAGATTGTGGGAAGGGGATTTACTTTCACTGGTTACTATCCTTGAAACATCCATTTTGGTAAAATTGAAAAATGTTTGGCCAATTGGTCATTGATCTTCTTCTTTTGACAGTTTTTGAAGCTGAAAAATCAGTGATTAATACTTCATTGTCTCAATAATCAGCATATCAACATTTAAATTTCTTTGGTAGAGTGGCTCAGAGTTGATCTTTGTGACAGAATTGTGATTCCAGTTTCAGGGATTTTGCTGCTTGTGATGAATGCAAGTTTTTACCTGCAGTAATCTATTGGATTGATGACGATGATTATCAATCCAAATTTTTTTTTTTCAAAGTTGGTAAAAATTGTAAATCTCATAAACTATGTGATTAAAATTGAAATTCGCCAATTAAAAAACTTTCGTTTTAGTTTTAAGTTGGCTGACATTCCATAAAATCTATCGTTTGTGAGCACTTAAAAGTTTACATTTCTGTTTAATGTATATTTTGTGAAAACTGATTGCTTTGAAAACAATGTGATTAAAGAGTAGAGCTTGTAAAATCATTTTCCCAGAAGAATACTAGTTGAAAACGAGTTTTAAAAAAATGGTTTTGAAGAATATTTAGCCCATATAGACTGCATTTTTGTAATAATACATTTTTCTCTTTCTTATTTTCAGCTATCCATTTTTTAATAAAATAAAATTTTTGTTAATTTTAAACAATACATTCTAAAAAAACCACTATTTCATCATACATTTTGTTCTCCAAACTTCAATTTTAATAGAGCCGAAACAGGGGCTTACCAAGTGTGGCACTTGGATTATAAATTTTAGATATATCATATGTGTACTAAAAATTAGGGCAACTTATAAAAGTATTCTTAAAATTTGAAGTGTTTTGAAAAATCATATGAAAAGTTTTTTTGAAGTAAAAAATAATGTGTAAAATAAAAAAAAGTGACACAATATCATTTTTTTTTATAAAAATTGAAAAAAAAAAAAAAAGTGACACAAACTCAAAAAAAGTGACAAAATTAAAAAAAAAAAAAAAAAAAAAAGACGAACACTCAAAAAATGATAAAAACTCAAAAGAGAAGTAACACAAACATTCAAAAAGTGATACAAACTCAAAAAAAGTGACAAATAAAAAAAAAACTGTGCAACACCAATAATCATGTTCTTAACATAATCCACATGTCTAGGACAATCCACATGCTGATTATGTTAGAAAAATTTAACATATTATTCCACCTTTTTATTTTCTTAAAAAAGTGACAAAATACTAAAAAAAAGTGACACAGTGTCACCTTTAAATTTCAGTATTACATTTTTATTAAAAAATGACATATAATATCACTTTTATTAAAAAAGACATTTGTCAATCAAATATGATAAAAATTTCAAGAATGTGATTGAAAAAAAAGTGACAAACATTAAAAATAAAAATAAAAAAAGTGACAAATTCAAAAAAGTAACAAATACTAAAAAAATGACAAATTTTTTTAAAAAGTAACGAAAATTTAAAAAAAAGCGACATAAATTTTAAAAAGTGACAAATTTGTAAAAGCGATCAAAAAAAAAAAAGGCTACGCAAATTCAACAAAAAATGAGAAACACTAAAAAAAAGTGACGTAAATTAAAACATTTTTCTTCTTCCCATATATTTGTTGCAAAAATTGACAAATAGATAAATTACAAGTCACGACCGTATCAATCGGCAAAGAGCTAAGGATTCATCAACTCAGGACATAAAACTAGCAAACCTAGACATGGAATTGACATGACCAATTGATCCAAAAATCAAACCATCTTCAAATTCTACTAAATTCTTCCCACTAAAATCTCGGTCCCTCCTCAAGCCACCAAAGACAGCACAATCGACATATGGACTGATATAAATCAGGTTAGGAGGAGGTTGAAACACTATAATCCTCTTGTCCAAGACTTCACAATGTGGTAACAAAAAGTAGGCATGGCTAAACAAATCCATTTACACGGTCTGACCACAAATAATCTTTAATTGATAGAAAACTATCCAAAAAAAAAAATATTCAATCAAAGCTTGGAGAAGGGCTCCATCTGCCATGGAGATAATCCTCAATCAAAATGGTTTGCTCGGTGCCGCTACTAGAACCAGAGCCTTCCTCCAAATTAAGCAACAAGCAGCGCAAGATTAATAAAAGATTGAAAACTTCTCAGCTTGGAAAATGATTATTATGTGATCATCACCACTCCCGTTGTGAGTAACAAGCCTGAATTCATTATCATCTCCCCCTTGATAGTTGAAAGGAGCTATGCAAGTGCCCCAAAATGAGAACTCAAATCTGCCTGCAAACTATCGAAGAGAGAAAGCATATCGTATATATATTTCAAAATCGTGCAGAGAGGAAGCATAACAATCTCATTTGCTCACCTTCATCACCGAAATATGTATCCCCTATCGCCATTTTTACAAGGTTTTTCACCTTTGTTGACCTTAACATCATTGGATTCACTAACTTTTCCAGGTTTGCAATTTTCGTCATATTATATTATTTTTATTTATTTTTATCTCAACAAAAGCCATCCCTTCGCAAATCACCATTTTTCGACACGTCACCTTTTTCAGCAATGCTTTTCTTCATGGGTGAATCCACGGCCATGTTTGCTCTCTTTGTTTTCTCATCAAGTTCCTCTCTTTACAAATCAGACAAAATATCAATTACAATAGGATCATTTTTCTCAACAACTCATTTTCACCCTCGCATTCCGAATTCGAGTCCTCAAAATCCCTAGCTTTTTTCTCCAAAGAGTTTTGACTCAATCCCCAATCTAAAACCCTATTTTTCTTCAAATCAACAAATCCACTTTCGGAAGTTCCCCCATCAGGGTCATCTGTTCCTGCACCGCCTCCCAATACAGCCAACTAGCCAAGTTTGATGGCCTCAAGCTCTCTCACCCCACAATCAACGATTTGGTCATTTGTATTGATGAACGTATATTATACTGTTAAAAGTTAAAAGAGTATAAATCAATTTACTAATTAATGGACCGTATTGAGCCTAATTATCCCAAAAATTAACTGTATTTGCTATGTCAATTAACTAGGGATAATAAAAAAATCGGTAAATTCAATATCTACGAAGCCTCGAGCCAAATGGAACGTGGATTCCACAATTGCAAGAAACGTGGACCATGTCTCGTCTAAAGTCCTTTCAGGATAAATTTTTTATCACACAAAAAGAAAATAATCATATCCCTCTTAAGAGAACATGAATCATTCCAAATATCGAAAAAAAGTAATGATTTTCATAAATTAGAGACAGTAAAAATAAATAAAAGCAAAACATAATAATAAATAAATTAATTAATTAAAACTAATAGGTCGATAAATGCGATAGGATACCCATCATGTCCCAACCCCACGTCTCCTCATCTTTTTTTTTTTTTTTTTTTTTTTTTTTGATATCCAGGTATCCAGACTAAATCCTGGAGTCTACACCTTGGCCCCTCAAACTGTAGACAGGTTAAACCGCAGGTTGTGCCCCAAATTGACCAGTGCTCAAGAGCCCCCCCCCAACTAATCCACGTCTCCTCATCTTAATCGGCTATGAGGGTGAGGCAAGAAGAAAAAAATATTCAATTGGAATTAAGGATAGGAATTACAATCGCTCGTCCCGTTGCCATCTGACAATCGACTCTGCACGTACAATTAAAAAAGATAAGAAAATAACGATAATTTAGAATAAGATAGAATTATGATATCTAGTATTCTTGGTGTTAGATCACAATTTAAACGATCATACTTAATCAGTTCAATTAAATTAATTATATCACATTGCATTTAAATGAATATTTCATTTGAGCCTCTTTGAACACCATTTTTATTGAAGAATGTATTTTGATATAGTAAATTGATGAGGAATGTGTGGTTAAAAAATAAGAAGAAATTTTGAATTTGCGAATAATATTATTTTATGGAAAATTCTAATTGTACATAATTATTGCACATAATGGTGTCCATAATGTAATGTGACAATCATCCGATTGTTGATGTGTAAGTGTGATATTTGAATTAAATGTTGGATCCAGTATCACGTATAATTATGAATACTATTATGTATAAAATTATGTACATGTAGCACTTTCTTTATTTTATAAAGAATGTTTAGTTGAAAAAATAAAATAAAATAAAAAAATAAAACAAGCGCTCAATATTGTATCTGTTTAATACCAATCAGATTAGGAAGGAATGAAAACCGACCAACCAATCAGAGAGTGGATTCTAATTGAAAGTTCCGAAGCTACTGGAAGGCTGTTTCAGTAATTCCATTGGATCGGCATCACCGTAGAAAGAGAGGAGCATGCTGCCGGGAAATGCCATCGTTACTGGCCGGAGACGGGTTGCTACGGCATTCGTCTTCTTCATGTTCCTCACTGTCATCGCTGAATCTAACAATTCTCAGGCATCGTTGCTTCTTCCATTTAACTTTTTTATTTCATTCATTTTTCTATAGAGAACTAGTTTTTATTGTGCCGTTCGCCATGAATGACAGGTCCGATGCAGCAAAACTTGCGTTGCGGAGAATTGTAACTGTGAGCCCGTTAATGATTCCTTGGTGAAAACACTATTCCATTTCATTTTTGTGTTTATTTTTATTTTTTATTATTCGAAATGTGTTGCAGCTGTTGGGATTAAATATGGGAAGTACTGTGGAGTAGGGTGGACCGGGTGTCCCGGAGAGAAACCTTGTGATGATTTGGATGCTTGTTGCAAGATCCATGACGAATGTGTCGAGAAAAAGGGTATTTTCTTTATCACTGGAAGTTATTTTGTTTTACAATTTTTTAGTCAATATTTCTCATTGTTCCATTTCCTAAATATGGTTAATGGCCTCAATAGTCAATATTACCACACCTTGTTGCGCATTATATTGCTGTAAGCGTTCTTCGACATAGAATATGGCTTTATGGGATAACATGACTAACTTGGGTAAGGATGAATCATTTAGATCTATAATGAATAAATGCTGAAATATGAATAAACAAAGATGTGAAAAAGAGTTATTATACTACATAAAAAGGATGTTTTGGGATAGAGGATGCACCAGCAGTTGTAGCCAAAACATGAGGTAGAAGCTTAAACTTCTGTCTATTGTTAGAAGTTTTTAAGGAATTTCATACACTGAATATTGTCTTAACACATGGTTTTCTAGACATTGTGCTCCAGATGAAGGTTATCCATCAATTTTTTTAAGATGAAAAAAATATTTTCATCTATTTTCTTTGTTTTGAAAAAGAAGTTTATAGTCCATATTTTTAGAATGTGTATAAATTGTGCTCATGTACGTTTACCGAGCTTCTATTTAGTCTTTCTTGCTTTGTGCTTGGGTGTTTTCTGATGCTGAGTTTGAATGTTTCTAAAATCGCTTTTGGTTATGCAATTGAGGGATAGCATTTATGTTATGCTTGTCTGATTTATACCATCAAAAGAGTAAATCATTTACCTCAGTTTCAATTGCCTACATTGTACGATCTAAGAACATAATTATTAAGTTGTTATTACCTGGTAGTTGTCTGGCCAACAGTTTCAATATTAGATATGACTCTTTATTTAAATGATCTACCTGATTGAGTTTATTGATGGATTTTTAGTCAATTTTGTAGTTGGGAGTTGATTAAGTCTAACTAAAAATATGTATGATTAAGATGTTCGAAAATGTTCACTTTCCCCCAAAAAGTTGTACTCATCCCACATTTAGTAATGGTCAGCTCAGCCTAAGTGGATCCTTTTCTCTTCTCATTCCTGAAATTAAATCATACATGTTGAAAGTCTCTTTAGTTATCTTGTTCTATGCCATTTTAAGAGTCCTTTTCTCCTTGGATTACTACGAGCAAGAAATCCATCACACTTCTAACTGGTGTGTTTACTAAAGCTTCTCCGAGTGTTTCGTTAACTTGAACCAAACAACTAGAAGGAAATCAAGAATAAGTAAACTGTAATACTTATAATAACTATCATTCTATAGAGCCCAAAAAAGTGTCAAGAATATACTACGTTAATATGTCGTGCATCTACTTCGTATAACTTTGGGCAGGATGCCCAACAATTCCTTAGAAGAAAACTGGTGTACAAATGGTACATCACTCTAATTGATTAGTACAAACCAATTTAGTTATTTATTTATTTATAATATTATAATTTTATTTTTTTTGGGGGGTTTGGTGGGTGCAGGGGGGTACTCCATCCATGAATTAAACGGGCACAGGAGTAAGCCCTCTATGGAAGTGTCCATGAGAAATGGTCGACACTACATATCCTAGTACATTCAAGTTCAGTGTACCCGATGTCTGAAGTAGATGTTTCATAAATCATTACGAAGTAGATATAGGTCCAGAATGTAAATGTCTTTCCCCTGTGACAAGTCCATCAATCATCCACAGTTACCAATGCAATTGAGATAGATCATCTCACATCTATATCTGAGTGATATATCATATCCGGTCACCCTGCTATTGTTGCCTACAATGCATAAACATGATAATGAAGATACGTCCAGTAATATCATGGTGCACAAAGTTATCTTAATTTCTGGTCCCTCCAACCTCTCTACTGTGTACTGGAAGAGCTTAATATATAAAATTAGCAACAATGTTCAATGTAATTGTCGTCCCATTATTAGCACCTTTGTGATTATCACAAGTATCCCAACACACAAATATCATGGTACATGGCCGGCCATAATTATGCGTTGTCAGCCATGTCATTCTTAGCCATTCCGAAGTTAGCAGGGAGTTCCTAATGTTGTGTACATTCTTTAACAGGATCCCGAACACTTGGTTTACTCAGTGACCATGAAATGTCTCCTGGAAACGTGTCTATCCTGATTTCTTCCTTTTATTTACACCATTAGAGGTAGTGTGTTCAAACAATAATCTAATGCGATGTTCTACACAAAATCGTACAATAATACATGTTTATATTCCGGACGTGTATCACAACACATACTATCAAGTAAGCACTTAATGTCTGCTTTTTGCATTACAGTTACATCTAATGAAACGCCAATATTTACCGTGAATTTTCATTCCATGGTAGCTTCTAAGTTGGTTTCCTGTACAATTGGCTTTAGGTTATTTACAATAGAACTCTCTTTTTAACCATTATGTATAATGGGTAATGATACTTGGGCAATCTGCTGACATAGGTATCCATACCTATATGATAAGTATTGATACCCATGTTGATAGAAGGCTTAGAACATTCTGAAAATGATTTTTCCTTATATTTCTTCGTTGTTCCTAGAAAATTATTTCTACTATTCTAACTCCCAAAAGAAGCTTTGACTCAAAAAAGTTACTTGGGAAAGTTTGATAATACCATACCTTGCCTTTTCCTTTCATAGCTCCCAATTCTAATTCTCTTTTTGGTTTCCTCTCACCAAGTGCTTGAAGTTGCGGAGTTTTACAAAGTTCTTTAGGTGTGGAGAGGTAGAATTTAGAAATGTATGACATGATGTGGATAAAAGGTGCTATTTGTGGTAGCAGCCTTATCCCTTCCCTCTTAGCCAAAAAATTTCCTCACTGGTTTCTTCTTCCTCCTATCTTTCCTAGCAATTGGGCTCTCTCTTTGGCGACTTCTATCCCCTTGTAGGACTTCTTAAGCAACTATTCAGCTGCCTTAAATTTGAATTTTACTAGCATTTATATAATCAGTTTTTGTTTTTGTTTTTGTTTTTCAGTTTGATATTGGATTCAATTTCAGAATTAAATCTTCTACATAATTATATTCTAATTGTTCTTTAAAGTGGAGGTTACAAGATTTCATGAAACGGGAGTTAGTAGTTCAAGAAAAACACAAATCGTAGAAATCTTGTTATATGCATTCTATTTTGTATCTCTTTATTGAATGTCTTTCCTGATGAACCTCAACCCTTTCAACATATATTTCATTGTTAGAAATCTTCTACTTTTTCCTCATCTGTTCTTATTTTCATTTTAAATAAGGAAATACATCTTTTGTCTGAAAACATTTGGGTTTTACAGAGCAGTCATGACCATAACTGAATCTAGAAATATGGTGTAATTCTTTGTTTGGTTAAAATCGAGTTATGTTGCATCATTGTTTTCTGCTCGTGTTGGTTCCTCTTTGACATTTTCTTGTAAATCTTCGCCTGAAAAATGACTGTGTTTTAGTTGTGCACTTCAATTTCTAGCATTGCTTAATCACAGATTTATTTATACTTTAATTTTCAGGTTTAACCAATATTAAATGCCATGAGAAGTTCAAGAGGTGCATAAAAAAAGTACAGAAATCCGGAAAGATTGGTTTCTCCAATACCTGCCCATATGACACAGCTGTGCCTACAATGGTACAAGGTATGGACATGGCCATTTTATTTAGCCAGTTTGGTAACTCAAAACTTGAACTTTAATGGGTTAGTTCAAATGTCTGGAAAAGAGATGCCCAATTCTTTTTCCTATTAAAATGACTCTAAACAATAACGTTATGTATCAAATATACAAACAAAATGTTGAAAATTTTTGAAAAGATTTGTCTCCTTAGATATTGTAATTCTGCAATTTGAACATAAAGAGAGATTTATTTTTCTTAGTCTTCTCTTCCTGTTTGTTTGAGGGGTTTTGATAAATGGACAGGGGCCGTGAGAATCGGCGCCCTCCAACCCCTGTCACCCTTGCAAAGCCCTTGTTTGAGGCCTTATGGTACCTGCACAACATTCTCACTATGATAAGCGTTGATCTTCTCTTCCTGTTTGTTCGATAGCCTTTTTTTGTTGAGCTCTTGTTTGAGCCACATTATTTTTCTTAGAATGCATTTTTGAATAGTGTATTGATGGAAAATGTGTGATTAAAAAATAAAAAAATTTTGAATTTGCATGTAATATTATTTTATTGAAGAATGTGTGGTTGAAATGATGTCAAATCACTGTTTAAGAATTTTTTTTTTATTTTTTTTTAAATATGGCTCAAACATGGCCTAAATTTTAATTGTTTACGGTGGATATTTCAAATAGTTGTTTACATTTTGAATTCAAAACTTAAAACAAAGTTCTGGGGATTTCTGCTCTAATCTTCGGGTATGTTAGCTCTTTTCTCGTGTCTTACAAATGAAGCATATGGAACATGACTACTAGTGGAAGTTGAACGAATATCCTGTAAAGACACATTTGTGGCACACCAGTACTCACGTCTTGATACTGTACAAACGGTATACTTACCGGACGGCAAACGGAAATGTCTAAAATTATTTAGACATTAAGCCCTAGTTTGAACCCTATTTTAGAGGAGAAAATGAATTTTTGAATAGTGTATTGATGGAAAATGTGTGGTTAAAAAATAAGAATAAGTTTTTGATTTGCGTATAATATTATTTTATTGAAGAATGTGTAATTGAAATGGTGTTAAATCACTGTTGAAGAATGTATTTTAGTGAAAAAATGGAGCTCAAACAAAGGCTAAATATCCATGCTACACTAATGTGATGTGACTAAAGGACAAAATCCCTAAAAAAGGAGGTCGACAAAGAGGAAGCACAAACAACTTTTAAAAAGCATTCAAGGCATCTTGAGGATTCAACTTGTAATAAAAAAGTTTGAATTAAATTTCATTGGTCGCATGTTATCAAATTTTATGGACATGATAATCTCCGTAGAATCAACGAATCATCGTAAAATAAACAGAGAATACTCGTGTTGAAAATTTAAATTTCTGATTAATATGTGAAAAGTTGAAATCTGACTTTAAATACAATAGTTTTCATGTTTTACCTTTTGGAGATGACAAAATAACCCGTCTTGCCCTATTCTATCTCGACGGGTTGGTGGGGCGAGGCAGAGACCCCACCCCATCTTGAGTTGAGCGCCGAGGTCCTGCCACGTAGAGAAGTTATATATATATTTGAACATTATTTTGCTTTGAATTTTAAAATTTTGTAATTGTATTTTATTTTCTAATAATGGTATAACTTGCAGTTTTGAAAATATAAATATAAGGGGGGGCGGGGTGCCCTACTCCAAACTTGCACCCAATTATCTTTTATCAAAGAATTTCAAATTTTAATATAGTATAAAAGACTATTAAGCTCCAACAAGTAATTTGATTTGATTAAGACTCAAACGAGCATATGAATTTCAAAATTTATATTTCAAACGTGCATGAGCTAATAAATAAGAGTTTGATTTGTTCCTTTTAACAAAATTAACCTTTGAAGATAGAATTCCAATAAAAAAAATTGGACCAAAACCATTCCAACTCACAACTCAATCAAACGGTCAGAGACTAACAACACGTTTACCACTTATTCCTCCCGACTCCTATTAACTATTTATCCACCATGTAAAGTAACTCTTACTTATCTGCTTGGCAGTTGGATGGATTACTTAGATCATCTCCAACGAGGGACCAAATAGTGTAAAATTTGATATAATGAATAGTGTTACATAAAATTATTCATACCTTGGAGAGTTTTCAATAATTCCTAGTTTGTCGTCCTTTCCCTTTTTTTCAACAAATATTTATTCTGTCAATATCCCTTTTTCATATTTTAGAATCAATTAGATTTTTATTGGTTTATAACTGTTTAAATATGATAGTTATTTTTATTTAATATTTATTTTTAAATTCTAATCAATTAATAAATAATAATTGATACAATAGCCTCCATTTGAGCCCCATTTTTCTCATTTTTTTCTATTATTTTTTCTACAATACTCATTTTTAAATTTTAACCACATATTCTTCATTATAATAATATTATACGCAAACAAAAAAAAATTCCTTTTCTTTTAACTATACAATTTTCATCAATTTACCATTCCATAATACATTACAAGAAATTAATAGAGCTCAAACAGAACCTAAGATTATTCAATAAAAAATCAAAAGTAATAAATTTAGTACTTAGACAACATAAATATCTTAAGAAACATAAATTAAAGTACAATACAACATTAAACTAGAACAATAATTTAGTAATCTGGAATGTCTTTTTCAACTCCACCAAGAACATTAAAATATTCACCGAAAGAACTAGATGTATTTTAAAATCCATCACTTTATTGTTGACTTCTTTTTTGCAAAATTCTTATTTGTTCATTTTGAAGAAAATCACGTACAATTGGATTCGATATGGAATTCAAATCTTTCAGTAAAATTTTATTTTCTTCTCTATATTCGATTAAGGACAATTTTTTTAACTCATTTTGAGTTCTTAGCATTTTAATTTCAAAAAACTGTTGTCTAACCTTGCATCCACTCTTGAGAATTTCAAGGAGTTGTTGATTTTCATCATTGAAGGTTTCAATAAACTTTTGACTTTCTTCATCATTTTTCCTTTTTAACTTCGCTTTTTTCAGCCCAATGGATCGTTTAGTTGAAGCACCACCTACATTTTCTTCATTTGTATTAAGACTAAATGAAGACAATTTCAGAGATGCTGAAATGGGAGACTCTGATTGTGATGATGCAAAGCTGCCACTTTGAATTTGGAAGACTGGTGTTTTTGCTGTCACGTTCTTGACTGATTTCTTCATCTGGGTTTTGTTTTCAACTGAATTTGCAGCCTTTTTCACTTTCTCAGAAGGGGAGATCTTGTACAAGTTCTTCACTTTGACAAGCTTTCCTGATTTCACGAGCCCTTTCAACTGGGCTGAGAGGATTTTCTTGAAATTTGTTGGGAGACTAGCAGAGTATTTCGCTTCGATGAATTTCGCTATTGCAGGTTGGCTCGAACCAGCGTGATCCTTCATTGTCGTAATGGCTTCACTTATCATCTGAACCAAAAAAATAATAATTCCAAAAGTTGATCAGTAAAATCTTGAAATAAATATGAAGAAAAATATGAAAAATAGAGTACCTGAAGATATGGTGGGTGGAGGTTTGAAGGTGATGAACTAGAACTGGAAGTCTTTCTTTTGGTATTCTTCTTTGAAATGGCCATTGCTGCTGTGGATAGCTGAATTTTCTAGGAGAATATGCAAGTGAAATGAGAAGGGAGATTGTTCTGCTTTAATGAGAAAATTTCAATTTCAAATTTTGGCTCGGAAGAAATTTTTTGAAAAATTCTGTTCATAAGAAAGCTAATTTCCCGCCTACACATCACAAAAGCGGTGGGAATTGTGGATTCATAGTTTAATGGGTATGGATATATTTGGATTAAGCCCATTAAAGGAAAATCAATTCAAAAATAAGCCTATATGGTTCCTTACTTCCTTTGGTGGTAGATGGCCATTAATGAGAAAATGATATTTTGAATAGTGATTTTTTTGAGAATATATAATTAAAAATAGGAGGAAAAATTTATATTTATGAGCAAAATACCTTATTGTATGAATGTCTAATTAAAAATAAGTATAAGAATAAAAGAGTTTTGTTTTAAAGGAAAATAAATAGGAACTAAATGGTGATTACTTACGAGCTTGGGTTTCACCCTCAAGAAGGCTGATTCTCAAGTAAGATGGGTTGTATAGAATACCATCTTGATTTTGCTTTGTCACGAGAGACTCGAGCAATGCTTGTAGATGCTATGTCTGACGGAAGATAAACCATAGGCGATTGACATCATTGAGAAAATCATAGGCGATGCTATTTTGTAGATTCAACTTAATAACCATCAAAATGCCCAAGTATTTTGTATTTGTGTTGAAGATAAAATAATTTGAATATTTCCTCTTGATATTAGATTGTTAGTTTACTTTACTAATATATTATACACCATTAGCTTATTTACTGTGTGTTATTCAAATCATTATGTCAAGTTTGTGATTTTTGGAGGACTCATTGACCGTTGTTGAGGTTGGTGGTTGAAGATTTTGGCCTGGAATCCTCAAAAGTTATTGTTGTTATTGTAGTATTCTTCGATGATAAAAGATAAACATGTTTCACGCTTTTCAAAAACCATTGAGATTTTTTAAGCAGATGAAGAAAATTATCAAACAATAGAAAAAGAAAATATGCGATCAAATGAATAAGTTATTCCATTTAGCATCTTATTTTAAGTCATACAATGGACTATTTGTTACAATATTGTGGAATTCTATTGCATTTCAGTAAGCAGTGTTGGAAATAAAGTTATAAAACTTTCAAAATTGAAAATTAAAAATTCAGTTTTCAATTTAATTTCCGAGTTTTCAGTTTTAAACTTTTTTAATTTTTCAGTTTTGTTTTTAACTTTTGATTCAATACAAAACTTAATCTCATCATTATATTTGTAACCTATGTTGAATTTGATTAATTTTCATTATGAGAGAGTTGAAAATTTCTACGTGAATTTCTCATTGTTTTATACACAAAAAATATTCTCTAATTTTTTTATACTACTCTCTTTTCATACTACTCGTTAGTCATTTTATATTACCTCTTCTATAAATTCTGGTAATTGATAAGGGCTTGTTCTTTCACTCGCTGTGGTCGTGTCCATAGAAGAAGAATCAACTGTGAGTTATAAGGGTTTTATCCGTACAAAGGAGAGGCCGCACGACTTTAAGACAGCAGTTATCGCGACTCTCTTAGGCGTTTCCTAACTCTATTCTTATATTAATTTTATTTAATTCATTCTTATAATTGATAATTAATTGCACAAATCACGTTAATTTTACAACACACAATACTTCAATTGGACACAAGTCTCTTACTGAATCTTAGGTTTATGTTTTATTGGTCGAACTCGAAATGTATATTGAATCGATTCATAAATGTTTCGCTCGAGCTACGTGATTGGTGACAAATATGTGATTCGCTATATTTTTGAGGTGTAATTAATTAATCAATTAGTCACACGCAATGATATATTTTGGAGATTGGGACCCAACCAAGGATTTAAGGTTTCATTTCAAGTTATCACAGTGACAAGTGTATTCTATTAATCAAGTAAATATGTAAATAGATCATGTGTGAATTGAGATCATCTGGCTCAATTTCAAATGCATAATCGCATATTTGATAGAGATTTTAATCTAATTAACATCCATTTTTTTATTGTTATTTCACTATTTCAATCGTCATTTTTGAATTCTTCTCCCACGGGTAGGACCCACTTTATCTCTAACAATCAAAAAATCAATTAACAAAATCAATACCAAACAAACACTAAGATACGAGGTCCCAAATTTCATCGAGAGTATCTCTACTTAGAGAAGACAACGGTGAGGTCATGGTGGGCGGATAGGCTATTGCCCTGTTTATCAATTTGTTTACATTTTTATTTTATTATTGGAAAATTCTACTTGTACATAATGGTGTCCATAATGTGATGTAGCAATCATTCGATTGTTGATGTGCAAGTATGAGATTTTAATTAAAAGTTGGATCCAGTACCACATGTAATTATAGACATCATTATGTAGATAATTATGTACATGTAGCACTCCCCTTTATTATTTTGTATCTTAAAGTTTCATGTCCTTAGCCCCTATTTGGTGGGACACATAGAAAATTTTAATGAAAAAAGTTTTTGAAATGTGTTTTTGAGAAGTTGTGGAACCCATAAAAATTGTAGTTAATATTAATTGTTTGATTTTAACTTAGATTAAAATCCGATTTAAATAAATACCAAATAGCTAGTCAATGAAAATTATTATTGTTTCCCAATATGTAGAATATCATATATTCCCTTTAAAAAGAATGGTATTTTTTTTTTTCTTTTGTATGATAAAAATTTCAAATTTAAAATAGAAGTTAAACGGAATGTGTAACGGGGAGGGGATCATGTTCCCTTGTACCATACCTTGCCCCGTGTACCTGATTGATTAGGTGGGGAATCCCCATCCTATTTGAAACATGACCCATGAATATCTAATTTAACGAATTTTTTGCCGTCACCACTTTTGTATCGTATCATTTGGAGATTTGAGTCATGTACAAAAGTGGAGATAGAGACCAAAAATGAGAATTATTTTCAAAATCAAAACTCACAATTAAAGTTTACATATTTGTCTTTTATCCCTATCTCGATATCACTTGTATTATATCTATCATGTACATGCCCAAAAAAGAAGAAGATATAATTAAAAACAAAATTCATCACAATATTACATATTGGTAGATAGGCAGACAATTCAAACCAATTTCTAGAATGGTTACATTTCCAATTCGACGGCATTTGAAAATGTATCAAGCCTTTAGGTTTAATAATTTAAAATGACTTCTTTTCTTTTTCTTCAACGAATGTTACATAGCCCCCTCACATGTAAGGGGATTCAAGCTGATTACCCATATTTTATTCGTGGGATTTTCCTTTCTTCAATATTTGCAATGAAAACTTTAATATTTTATATTTTCAGCTTTATATTTCATTCGTTACTGTTGAGTTTTTTGATACCCAATAAATTTCGAGCTATAATATTAACGTGTGTTAATATTATTTTATAGGCATAGGCTGATGAATGAAATAAGTCCAACAACCAAGTCCATGAGCTACACCCAGCTTAATTGTATCCCCTCTTGGATGACTTGAATATTTGCCTGTTTACCTTTTTAATGGTTCAACTTAAAGCCTAACCCTAGAGTATATATATAGCTATAATCCTAGCCACTTTTTTTGTGATGTTTTGTGAGGTTTTGTGTGAGAAAAAGTGGAATCCCGGTTGCCTCCTTTCGTGTGTGAAAAATAGCATCTAAAAGTGTCCAAAACGCTTGTTTATCGTGTGCGATTGGTAGTTCCTTTATACTATACCTTTGTGGTGTCTTCTTCTAACCTTTGTGGTCACAAATCATCACATTTTCTTGTCCTACATAGGTAAGATTGAATAACAAACGAGGTGAAATAGATTAGTTGTGGTTTGGAGCCGATTGAATTGGCTGTTGGTAGAGAAAGGTACATTGGACTAAGTTCGAAAATCACCGATTTGAAAATCTTTTAAGAGAGCTTCCGCAACATTTGGTATCAGAGTTTCAAGGTGTTTGTTTTGGCTCGTGAAACATACCAAAAAGGTCCAGAAATCGCAACAAAAATCAAATTGAAAAAGTTGTCCAAAAACTGTCAAAATTAGCCTCTGTTTTTCGCGTTTTCTGATCAATCCAGAAGGAGTTTTGGGAAACGGGGACCACTGGGGTGACGTGCAGGTGGAGTCATTTCGAGACAATCTCTTCAGACAGTTTGTTCCTCACATTATTTTTGACATTTTTTGTATTGAAAGTTTTACGTTTCAGAGTCTACAGTAGAATCTGGACAGCATTGTTCTTCGGACGTTCGGACTTCGATTGTGATTTCTTGGTTACTGCAGTTTTCAGAGATTTTAGGACAAATAGTGATGGTTTTAAAGTGTTAAATTCGCGTGTCTCATAATTTATTAACTCAGATTGGTCCGTTCTAATAAATTGACTGAAACTTTTACATTATCGCACTAGTAGATCATCGTGTGAAGTGATCATTAGGATTGGGGGATGTCATTACTTGGAAACCATTATTTCTGCTAATTTAGGAATTATTTGTCATATTTGAAGTATTGGATTTAATAATTGCAAGTTAAATAACTGTTTCTGTGTTTAATTTATTGCATTACATGAAAATTTGAATTTTTTTGTTAATATACCTTCGTGTTTGCATTAATTGTCCCATTGAAACACCAGGACTTGATCCGTTCGAATATTCCTTTGATCTAAGATCGTGAATCTTACGAAACCCTGAGAATCTAGAACGGTGTATATTGCGACCTTATGATTATTTTGTGTGACCTTTTTGTGTTTTGATTGTTCTGTTTTTTCTTAAAATGTCTTCACATTTTGAAGTTTGAATTTTTAATGGGAAATGGAATTTTTCTATTTGACAATAAAATATGAAGGGTATTTTGGTCCAACAAAAAATTTCAAAAACTATAGATGGCAAATTTTCTGGAAATTTCAGAGAAGCACAAATAGAAGAGTATGATGAACTTGCATTATTTCAATTATTTTACACCAGTCTGACACTGTTTTGAGAAAAGTAGGAAAACTGGATTCTACAAAATAATTTTGGGAAAAGTCGGAGGACTTATATTTACTTAAATCTACTCCTAATAAAATGTACTTGCTTGAACGTTTTTTCACC